ATTGTGGCAAAAAAAGAAGAGACCGTATATATACCCTTAATCAGTGCTGAAGGTTTTCTAGCTAACACGCAGTATAAATTCCATCATACTCATGAAAAGATAAAGGTCTTAGATCAGATTCCCCCATAATCAAGGATTCTAGAACAACCTGCATTTCCATCTCTTCTGCCAATAACCTTCAGCTTAGGCTTCCTGTGACTACATCCACATTTTCCTCTCTCCTTTCTATCCCCCTAGTCTCCTCACCTAATGCCCATAATTCTCAGAGGATCCTGTGACTAGCACATCCAGCTTTTTCTTGCTCTCTACAGTAAAGGATCAGCCCTAGGGTTCCAGACATCAAAGATCTTAGCAAAGCAGAAACTACAGGGCATGATGTGGAGATAAAAGCCCCAGAAAATAAAATTTGGAAGAGGGAAGAGTACAAAAGGTCTCTTCTATGATAAAATAGTTGAGGAAAGAAAACCATATTAAATACTTTGACATTTATATAAAGCATGTGTACAACATGCATTATTACATTTGAGCCATAAACAAATAAGGTGGATCAATAATTGATATTAGATCAGTTTTTAAACTAATTGTACATGCAAAGAGAAAGAAAAGTCCTGAATATCTTGGTCAAGTAGTGCCAAGTCCTGTGCTCCAAATATGTCACTCTCTAGTCATTCACATCCTTGGGCTGTTTCAGTAGGTCACTGAGAAATGCAGTCTAAAGCAGGCTTGATCTGGAATGGGGTTCTCAGATGACTTTGCCAGGATACCTTAAACCTGAGCAGCCAAAATTCTAATGCCACCTAAGGCTGCTTTCCAGCCTGGGCTAGTGGGAGATAATATAGTTAAAAAGAGTAAGAGATAAAAGTCTCTAAAACTTTTTCATTCAGGCATGTCAATCCCTGGTCTCTATTCCCTATGATTCTGTTTTATGGAAGGTAGAAACTGACCAAGAAAGAGCATCTTCTACCAGGTTGGACTCCATTACCTTCCCATGATGCCTTGTGCTTCAGAAAGGATTATTCATTATTAAGGTTATTAACCCTTGAATGCAAAAGACCTAAGAGATGGTTTCAGCTAAGCCAAGTTAATAAATATCACATAATTTGAGTGCTTACAGAAAAAAACCCTAATTTTTCTACTTCATTTTATTGGGAGTATTATTTTCTCTTCAACATATTATAAAGATTCACTAATTTCTAAAGTGTCTGAATCTTAAAATGATTTAGAATTATAATAATGCAAGTAGGCCTTATAAGTACATCAGAAAAGGGAGAGAAAGAAAGCTGTGGCTTATAGTTAATGACTGCTTCTGGAAACTATGCATTCATATAAATATTTGGTCAATTAAATTACTTAACTTAGTCAATGAATGGATATGACATATTCCCTGGTGCATACTGCATATATAACTATCATCAGAATTGCTATGAGACTATTCTAAACTTATCATATACCTCTATTATGTTCCATATGCCTTCCCATAACTATTACTAAATGCTTTGGCCCCTTTCTTGCTAATACTTTTTTTTACAAACAGTCTTTCACCTGTGATGAGGTATAGGTCAATAACAACAAACATTGGGTACTCTACAATTTTCACTGGTCAGTCTTATAAACTTTTACATGAGTTTCTTTAAGTAAGGTATAGTTTTCTGTGACCCACACTGATATAGTTAACACCTAGTACTTTGTACTAAGTAGTTTGTACATTGTTCTATGTATGTTATATATAATTCTCAAAAGGAGCCTACGGGGTAGCTACAGGCAGCCTCGGAAGAACACGGGGAGCAAGGGAGTTCACTTAAGCATTACTCGGAAATGTTTTATCTAAAATGTCCACATGCCGCCAGAAAAATATCTAAACAATGAAACAAAAATAAATTTCTTATAATTAATACTTTTTCATGTAATAATATTGGTTTCCTATCTATAGAAGACAAATTCTGTTCCCCTTCTGATTCCTGTACCCCCAAATTGGTTCAAATTTTATCTACTAGTAAGGGAAGTGTAAATATAAATTTAAATCAACACTTTTCTTTTAGACCAGGCATAGCTAACTTGTTGGCCTTGACACCCAAATGCAGAGGCTCAATTAGATCACAAAAGTTTAAACAGCCACTGGAATGCTACCACTATTCTATGTAGGAACTTGAACTTTTTTTTTTTTTAATCTTTCATTACTACTGTTCAGAAAGTTTCCAGAAAGGTTTAAAAAAAAAAAAAAAAAAGTAAAATGAGAAAAAGGTCAAAAGCAGTAAGTATACTAAGAGTCCCTCCACTTAAAGAAAGGCTGAAGAGACCATATTGGGAATGAACCTTCCTGAAAAGGTGTGAAAACTTAAAACAATAAACAGAGAACTCATTACGTCAAAGTTACACGGGATTTTGTGAGAAGTGGTACATTATGGACAAAAAGCACTATTGTATTTTCACTGTAGCTCATATGAAGGCCTGGGACACCCACGGGATTGTATCTTGCAGAAAACTCTTTAGAGAAAGCTAAAATGAAGTTAAAATGGGTGTTGCTGTTTGAAAAAACTAAGTTTCCTTTCAGGTTAACTTCTGTAGGCCCTCGCTATTTCTCACTTGATTTATAATACTTGATTTATGATATTCTAATGATGTTCTCTAATTCTCCAATTCAACCTTTGTGTTGTCACTAATCACCTAAGTAATAGAGAATCTTCAGCTGGTTGGGTCTCTTTTACTCACAGGATAAAGCCCAAACTCCTTAGCACTGCGTATCCATCCTTGTTCTTTTTCTTGCTACTCTCTCAAATGTGCCATTCACAGGCAGGTGGTCACTTCACGATCTCCTCCTGGTCCCTGACCAAACACCTCTGTCTCTGTGGTGGTCAAAACCAAACCTACCCTTTGTGTCTTGGCCCCTGCAGGTGCAGCCCTAATTTCCTCAACATGCCAGACAGTTTCATGCTTTTGTGTCCTTGCATACGTTACCTCACCTGGCCAGAATGCCCTTCCCTCCTCTCTTCATTTCTTCTGCCCTGATTCCCTTAGGACTTGGTCTTAAATTACCTGGGAAGCCTTCCTGACATCTTCACCCTCGTGTGGGTCAAATGCTCTTTGGCCACTGCACTGTACTCCCCCACTAGACTATGACCTGCTCTACCACTTTCTAGCTGAGTGACCTTGAACAAGTTCATTAATTTCAATGAGCCATTTCTTCGCATACAGAATGTTAGCAATAATTTGATGTCACTATGAAAAAATGAATGTGAAAAATCACTTTGTAAACAATAAAAACTATGCAAGCATTAACAATTTTATCATAAGCCAAAAGAGTACACAGTATTCTAGGTGAATATAGCTCAGTTAACCTAAGCGTAAGATTCATCTCTTGGTTTCCAGTTCCCTCCTTCAAGGGTGCCTGGAATTTTATCCGACTTTTTGGCTAAGTCCTTGTAGTTCTATCTTCAAAGGAAAAAAGTCTATAGTGATGTCCGGGTTATTTGAAAAAAAGACTAAGTGGGAAGCTTCTGAATGATAAAGATGGTTCTTTTTTCCACCCTTTCTAATGCCTTCACAAGAATACTGGGTTATGCACATAAAAATACTTGGTAAAATGAAAGAGCTGAATGAATGAATGAATATAAGCATAACCTGTCTGTAGTGAGCTTATATATTCAAAAGGACTGATCTGACAGATCCCATTATGAATCTGGAATTGTGAAAATGGTAATAAGTGCCTTCAATGTCATCTTAAAGTGTAGTAAGAAATTAAATTTCCTGCTATGCTTATTTGATTTGATAAATTTTGTAATTGCTATTTTAGTGACTCATGCTTAACATGTTTTAGTATTATCAAAATCACTTATACAATTCAATATCTACTTATTGACTATTTACTGCATTAAGCCCTATAAGAGTATAAAGATAAGGGCAAAGGACTCTACCCAGAAGATGCTAAACACATAGAAAGGAAGCTAAGTCATCTATATATAATTAATACAAGGCAGAATGTTGTAAGATGTATAGAGGACCTAAGGCTAATGACAATCAATGAAGATAGTTGAGTTAGGGCACTGGGCTCTAAAAATTAAAACTATTACAAATTATTGGTGGCCAATAGCTTCTGTTACTATAGCATACCTACTACATATTACATATGTAACATTTGTCACATGCAATGGCAGATATTTCTGATAGCCTTCCTCCTTAATCTAATTATATTATCTAATTGTATCGTTGACTAATGAGTAAGGACCCACCGCTAACAGTTACATCAGACGTATGTGCCAAGCAGTTTCAAGCCCTTCGGGTGTATTATCTCATTTAATATCCACAACAGCCTTATAAGGTAGATACAATTCTCCCTATTTTACAGATGAAGAAACCAAGGCACAGGTCTTATAATTTTTCAAGGTCAAGAGGCAAAAATCAAAATATGTAAACAAGGACCTAAGAGACAAAAACGAGTATTCCATAGAGTGAGTGAGCGGTACCCACTTGCTAGAACTGCTTCACGGAGTGCTTTCCACTTCTCCCTAACGCACCCAGAGGGAACAACCTATTTCCTTTCCTTTCCCGCCCGGGATTATAATCCATAATTTAACTGCTGATTCTCATGCGGATCCTCTCAAACATTCCCACTCCAGAGGGTAGGCAGCTATTTAAATCACAGGCATTTGTGGGAAAATGAGACCGAATCAGATCCCTGGGCGAACAAAGCTCAGATAGGATCACGAAATTAAACCTTTCGGGCTGGGTATCCGTTTCTGGATCATCTCCAGGGGATGGAAGCAGCACCAGCTCACCCTGCAGGCGCTACCTGTACAGTATCCTCTCCTCCCAGTCCCCAGGCAGCTTGGGTTTTGCCATCTGCTGGTTTACCTTTCACCTACCGGCGCTGCCTGCACACAATCTCCGTGCTCCGACCACCAGGCCTCATGCACCTCGCTCTCCGCAAATCCAAACCCACCCGGGTGTGTGTCGGCCCCTGCAGAGGCAGCCCGTCCCGCTCCCTCCCCCGGCCGGCTACTCACGGTTCCAGTACACCGGGTAGCATTCTCCTTGGGTCACATCCACCTCGTAGAGGCCGCCCCGCACACACACCCGCTCGATGTTCACCAGCTCCTCCATCTCGGGCTCGTGCCTTCCCGTGCGCGGGCAGAAGCCGCAGACGCGGTCCTCGTCGTCGTCTCCCCCTGAGCTGGAGGCCGGGCCGCACACATGGTCGCCGCCCGGGTCCTCGGCCTGGGGTCGACCGCCCGTGGCCTGCAGCAGGGTCCGGAAGGCGAGCTCGATGCGGAGCGAGTCGTAGCCGATGAAGGGCTTCCAGGTCTTCTTGTCCTCCTTGTAGAACCAGCGCACCTCCTCCGGGCCCAGCTCCGTCACCACCTCGTAGCGGTGCCGGGAGGCCGCGCCGGCCGGCCGGGTGCGCTTCCTCTCCCCGGGACCCCCTCCCGCTGCCCCGCCGCCCCCCGAATTCGACGGCACCAGTGGCGGCTGCTGCGGCGGGTGCAGGGACGAGGAGCTGCCACCGCCGCCGCTCTCGCCCTCGCTGTAGTAGCGCAGCGAGGAGCCTGACTCGGCTGAGCTGAAGTCATAGTTCTCGTCACTGAGGCAGGGGTCCAGCACCAAGTGGTGACCGTGGTCGTCTGTGCCAGGCGCCAAGTGCAGCGCCGGCTCCCCGCGGAAGAGGGCCAGGGGCACCTCGCCGTCGCCCGGGTCCCTGCCCGGCAGGTGGTCGAAGCAGCAGACGCTGCCACCGAACGCCGGCTCCGCATCCGAGCTCAGCTCCCAGGCGGCGGCGCCGCTGCCCCGGCCGTTATGCTCAGGGCTCCGCGGGGACTCGTGGCCCGGGAAATTCATGGTGTGGAGACGCTGCCGGCTGCCCGGCCCGGAGCGGAGCCGTGGCCCCCAGCGCTTCCGCTACACATTCAACGCCGCCGCCCTCTCCACCCGGAGTTTTTAATCTTTCAAATCCCGGCCGGAGCTACGGCGGCAACCGCGGTGGCTCCGCCCCCCCATCCCCCGCCCCCGAGGCCGACGGCCGCCGCCGCGGCGTTCCGCGGTCCGTCCCATTGTCACGCTGCCCAACGTAGGAGGCGCTTGGCCCGGGCCCGCCCCGCCGGCCGCGCGCGCCGCCCCGGAAGCCCGGTCTCCTGGGCGCCGCAGGCGAATCATCCCTATCGCTCGTCTCGCAGCTGGTGCGAGGTCAGCTCAGGGCACTTGGTCACTCTTCGGATTTGTCAATTCTTTTTCGCCTCTGCCTTCTTTTCCCTGCACATCTGCCTCGGCCCTCGCCCTTCTGGAAGTCAGAGCCCAGATGTGGAGAGGCTTTACAACAGTCATCTTTGCAATCTGGGTCATCGCCTCAAGGGTTTAATTAATTAAGATACAAGTCTAGAGAGTCCCTAGTAGTTGGATTCTGCTGACCTTAGTTTTGTGACCTTAGGCCTGCCTATGGCCTCAGCTGGACCTTCCAATCACCTGGTTCTGCTCCTACTAGAATTGGTCCACAGGAAGACAGTCCGCCGCATACCTTCTGATTCTTGTGGTTGGCATCACCACTCCTACTCAAATTCAAGTCTAAACCTCCCTTCACATGCAAGTGTATATTATTGCTTATCTTTTAGTGCTTATTTCCTGTTTTCTCAACCTGATTGCAAGGTCCTTGATTGAGACCAAGTCTATATGCCTCAACCTCTCCCCCATAGTGGGTACACAGTGTTGATTATAATGATGGCAAATCCAGCGAGTTGTGATAGAAAGATTATTAGATTGAAAGCCAGAAAACAACTAGGCTCTAGACTTTTGCTAACTAAACACAAGCAAGTCACTTATCTCTTTGATGTTTTGGTTTCCTCATCTGTAAAATAGTCATTATTGGACCAGATGATCTTTAAAGTCTCTTCTAGCAATGGGAGTCTGTGACCTTTATGGTTTCTGCCTGTTCTTTACGTATCTCTGATTCTGTAGCTCATTTTCTGGGATCAGATTGAATGCTGAGGTTCACCCGCTTGGTTTTTTTCATATTACAAGAAAAGTTTTATAACTCCATCACTCTGTGTTGAGAGTCCAGAGAAAAACATTCTCCAAACTCAGTGTTTGCAATTCAAGATCAGACAGTATTCAAGTATTCACTGTTTCCACCCCACCCCACTTGTAGAATCAGATTTGTAGGACAGTTTTTATTGCTTCTGGAATGTAACCTGTCAGAAATTAAGTCATTATTAAGCAGTACTGTCTCAAGCTTGTACAGGATCTGTGAATGAATTTGAAAAAAAAAAAATGGCTTTGCTTCCTAAGGGCAGTTACAGAGCCAGTGTTCATGGACTGGATTTCTGCCCCAGTTTGTGCTCTTGGCTGGATTATCTTGGCTAGATAAGCAATGAACAATCTGCCCAACTGGACACTGCAGCCCTGACTCAAAGCATCAGAGATCTTGTTTCCATTTAGATTGCTTTTTGAGTATATGCTAATCAAATTCTTCTCCAGTATTTCTATTGACAATGTGCAGAATACGAAATGGGGTATGAGCTTTCATCTGTTTACTACTGATGAAAGCATTCATTCTATAGTGTTCTGATGGTCACAAATATGGTGGGAATCTCTGTGCTAGTTTCTGATACAAAAGAGCATGGGAGAGATTTCATTCCTCCTTTAAGCACCTTAAAGCCTAGTTGAAGGGGGGGTACAGAAAACTAAACAGATACATTATAGTACAGTGTGAAGAGTACTATGAGGTTGATTTAAAATAAGAAATATTACAATATTTAAAATATTTCTATCCCTTTATAGTTCTCAATGGAACCTAACCTACCTGTACTGCTATCTGGTCAGATTATTTTAGCCGAATTTTAACTATGACAATTTCTGATATTTAAATGTTGTGCTTATTACGTTATCTTGAAAAAGTTATCCTCTTGTGGCCCATTGTGTAAGGCCACACTCTTTTATTAGTATGATCATTTTTGAAGAAGATATTGATCCTCAAATATGATTTTTTAAAAAAGAACAACAATAAACAAACCACAATGCAGTTGGAGGTGAGGACCCCAGATTCTCTCTGGACCTGGCTATCTTGGTCTAGACCTTTGGTGAGGAGAGATGTTAATCAGTGTTTGTGGGAGGCGAGATTGCTTCTGCCCCTTGGAAATGAGCTGGGGCTAGAAGGACAGATCCAAGTAGCCAGCCCCATGCTGACAGTGAGTAAAAGATATTTGAATGTATAATATATAACTTCACTTAACTGTATGTGTTTATTTCCTTGTTGTTCCTTAGCCATATCAAGGCAAAGGCCCCAAAGCCTCTCTCCTCAACTATTTTTTCTGCTTTAAAAAGTCATTCTGATTCTTCCTGCTGCTACTCTCTTACTCTTGCTTTCTAGAGCATCTTTCAGGTCATATAATTCTGACAAGAGGGAGAAGGATTCCTCTGTTCCAGTCCCCACCTGTTGAAACAGGTGTCAGGTGGCTCCTCACCACTCTATATCATTAGTGCATGCAATTGACATAGCAATATATGAACTTCCATGGTTGTATGTAAAGTGTTCTATTGTATTTTACTAATTACCCAAGACCAAGCCTCTTTCATTTAAACCAAATAAGTATGATTGATTCAGACTTCTGGCATCTGTGGACTTATGCTGTTGCAATAACCAGGTGAATGTGGAACCAAACCTGAGTGGTTGGTGCCGGACAATAAAAGAGGCAAAGCCAGATGGTTTGTACTGTAGAAGACTATATAGCAGCTCATTTGCACATCCTGCCATCCTCCTTTCCCCTGCTGGCATATGGCAGGGGCTATCCAGCAAGCAACAGCCATCTTCCCCTCCCCACTTCTCCAAAGTTACATGATGCAATTTTGTGCAACCTTTCTCTTTTTTTTCTCCCATAAAGATTGTTCTTGTTGTTCATTTTAACCGCTTTTCTGCCTGCATAAAAATATTAGAGGTAGCCTAATGCCATGTAATTTATTCTGAGCCAATAACCCACACCTGCATTTGAAATGGCTTTGATTAAATATATGATGGAATATTTAGAATGAAGAAAGAAAGCAGTTATATAACCATACCATCATCCGTTGTATCTCTTGTTTGATAAGCCACCCACTACATTTTAAATTTTATTTTACTTTTTATTTTTATCATTATTATTTATCTAGTTTTTTAAAATTAGAGTGTCTTAGTCTGTTCGGCCTGTTAAAACAAAATACCATAAACTGAATGGCTTCTAAACAACAAATATTTATTTTTCACAATTCTGGCCTAAGAAATTAAAGATTATTGTGCCAGTAGATTTGGTGTCTGATGAGAGCTTCCTGGTCATATTTTCATTGGGTCTTCACGTGTCAGAAAGAGCTAGGGAGCTCTGTGAGGCCTTTTTTATGAGGGCCCTCATGAACCAATCACCTTCCAAAGGTCCCAACTCCTAATACCATCACCGTGGGGATTAGGATTTCAACATGTGAATTTTTTTGCGGGGGGACACAAACATTCATACCAGAGAGTGTCTTCTTTGGTGCATAGACTAAATGGGAAGATGACCTAGACAGAAGTAGGGAACATTCATTGATATGTATTAGATGTCTACTAAGTTTCAGGTACTATACTAAGACTTACAGTGAAGCATTCACAGTCTAGAGGTTTCTTTAAATAAATCCCATAATGCCAACTTTTTATTCTTATGAGGAATATAATGTAATGCCAAAATGACCACAAGAGCCATTCTTTCACTAAACACAGATCAACAGAGGAAGCCAAATTACAACCAAATGGTAGCTAGGCAAGCAGAAATACAATAGGAGTATGTAATGAATAAAGTCATTTATGTTTCTGTTTATTCATTCAACAAATATTTATTGTCCAGTGCTATTTTGATAATGGTTCGTTTTTATTTTTATGTTTAAATGAAATCATACTTAAAATGTAGAGTTATCAAATGCATTTACTTTAAGATTTGTAAGAGGTCTGCTCATAAAACTGTACATACCAAAATCCCATAATTTTTAAAATATTCCTTCTAGAAATAAAGGTCAGTGGTATTGAAGATATATATTCAAATGGAAGAAAATATAAATCAATACAATATTGATGCATACTTTATGGAGGCAGCCACAAAATCTTCATCAGCTTATTTATAACAAAGAGAAGATTTGGCTATATTCCTGAACTTTCATTGTAAAAAAGTGAGTTAGATGGTAGCACAGGCTGCTGTGAAGTCCACATTATGCATCTATTGTAGATGCATTTGATGACTTTTATGCTCCAGGATTTTTTCTTGTCTTATCTCAGAGATAAACTGAAAGTACATCTTTATTCGCAAAATATATAGTATATAACTAATATAGGCCTTCACCAAAAAGTAATTGATAATCATAGTATTGTGCTGAGAAAGACTTAGTAGCATCTTGTATATGTATAGTTTATTCTGATTTTCATATAACAAGTGAAAAGGAAAGAAAAAAATGCTATGTCTCAATAGGGATTTTCACTAGTTCATCTCTGGGTAATTTCCTGAGTTTTTAAAGGACTGAATGGCAGAATCGATTTGCTGTTTTTGCAACTGCTGCTTAAGAAAGCATGTTTATCCATAAGTCAGCATTTCGAATGTAAGATTTCAGCTTGACCAATATATGATTCTGGACTCACAAGTTCAGAAGCCCCTTCCACAGGATCTCCCACTGGCTTTTTGAGCCATACTAGATAGCCATTATGGTTGTATCATTAATAAATTAAACTAAGATAGAAGGAAAACAAAGTTCTTCAGAAATTTAATCTTCTTTAAGACTAAAGCTATATTTTAAATATAAGAAATAACAATGGCCTTGCATTTATAACTTATTTTCTTCTTAAGTTCAAATTCAAGCTAATTCTTTCTTCTTAACTTCAGATTCAAACTAATTCTTAATCACCGAGACCTAACAAACAGCCTTTCATCTGATTATTTACATTACTTAACTTCTCAAGTTAGAAATGATAAACCTTGATTACTCACACTGTTCTTCTAGGTTAGAAACTGTAATCC